ACCTGATCGCAATCTTCATCTGATTCTGAAGAGCTATCAGTATTTTGATCAATTGTATTAATTTTAAATCCATTTAATTTTTGTTCTAACTCATTAACTAATTTTTTATTATATCCTAAATTAGTTGTTGGATCAAGTTGTTGGGGAACAAACATGGGATTTATTATTTGATTGTTTAGTGGAGTAGATGRAGTAGGTGTGCCATCTTTATTTTGATTATTTTCAACTCTACTAAGTTATTGGCTTGTAGTACTAAGTATCTCATTTGAATAATTATTTTGATAAGCAATGTTCTTAATAATTTCATCTTTAGGTGTGTTTTCTGTAACATTTACTAAGGGGGTAGCTATATATTTATCTTGAACTAATATAGATGTTTTTGGTGGATGAATACTTGTAGTAATTGTGTTATCTTTTATAGTTTTATAATTTTGAGTAATTTTTGGGGAATTATTGATTAAAAGAAAAGGGTTAGGTATTTTTTCTTGTTTACAATACATTTCATACCATTCAAAGAABGTTATATGAACATTATTTTCATCAATATATCTTCTCCAAGCTARTTGATGTCTAAGTTCTTTACTTGAATCGTTGACAAAATTATAATAATATTCTCTTTTTTGTTTATTATGATCAGCATAAAATTCTTTGAAAAGATATTGCATATTAACCGTTGGTTGAGACATTTTAGCAAATTATTAACTTACTTTATTGTGTCGAATTCAGAGTCTATGCTTTTTTGAACCCATTTAATATACTTTATAACAAATGATAGTCTAAGAAATATATGAGCTGGAACAATTTGTTTCTTTTGTCTTTGTTCTAAAAATTTTGTTATCAAAATTTGTTTATCACGTTTTAGTTCATTTAAATATTTATAATCATTATCAATTTCTATCCAACATTCGTCTATTATAYTTTTGTTTATTTTATTTTGTCTATTACAACGAATTTGAATCTTATTACTCATATTAGCAAATTGATAATTTATTTCTCCAATATTTGATTTCTGTTATACTATGTCGTATACTCATATGTAACATAGCTATATGTTGTTTAATTAATTTTATTTGTATTTCGACTTGTTCTAATTCTTTGAGTAAAGGAGTGGAAAGAAAATAGGGATCATAATTATTATAAATTTGATTTTCTTTTAATTGAAGGGTTTTTAATTCAGATTCAAAAAAGCTTATTTCACTATTTCTTTCTTCTATATGTTTCCAATTTTGATTAATCATTCCTTTATAGAATCTATTTGAATTAACTGTAACTTGAATTTTGTTACTCATRATTGATCTTTGAAATTATTTAATTCAGATATAACATCTGATCTGGTTGGACTGTATTCTCCTGAATCATTTTCTTGATAAATAGGTTTTGGAATATTTGTATTAAAATCTACATATCTTAARGATTTAGATTTTGGGATTAGAGGTGTTTTCATATCAACATTACTGGTTGACCCTGTAGAAAATCTAGAAGGAGCAAATGGAAAAGATCCAAAATTTATATCTACTGAACCATCATCATGTTCTATAATTTTTTATGGTTGTTTGGAATTATCTAATGGTTTAGGTGGATGTATATTTTGAAGATTCCAGTTGCAAGATTGAGTAATTTCATTCCATTTTAAACGCTTTGGAATTTGAACTTTAGTGTGTAGGGGATTTGATTCAAATATTATTGTTTCATTTCTTGGACTTGATAATTTAGTTTTTGGTTCAATTGTTGTAGACATAGTTTTATAACATACTCTATATATGGCAGCAGCAGCCTGAGTGCTTTCAGAAAATTCTAAATTTTTTGTTTTGATTGTTAAAACTAAAGTATCTAGAATATTTGGATCAAATAATCCTACTGAAAAATTGGGATAACAATTAAAGTAAATTGGACCATTAGAGATATTAGTTTCGGCTATTGCTAATATTGAATTTTGGAAATTTGTATGCCTAGCATCTCTTAAGATTAACAAGAAAGGAGCATCTACGCCTAWCCTAAAGAGTGGYTTAATTGCTAYTTGAACTAATCCAATATGTAAATATTTATATTTTTTCCTATGTTGGATTATAGCAGTTTTTGAGAATAGATGAATATTTTCATAATCTTTATTGATTGATAAAGTTTGTTCAGTTGTTTTAATAGAATAACTTTGAAGAAAATCGAAGTGACCTATTTTATAAATGGTTTTAACATTTTGTTTTGTAATTATCCAGTCTGATAAACTCTGTTTTATATCACTAATTTGAATTTCAGATGAATTTAAATGAAGAAGATCTTGTTCTTCATTGATTTCTTCGCCAGAATTATGTTTCGTAGAAAATAAATCCATTATTCTATTTATATGAATTCACTTGTACTAAGATCTGAATATCGTTTTTAAGAAAACAAAATTTTTCTAATAATTTTTGGAATATCAGCTTTCTTATGGACGGGTCCGGCTGCACGTCTTACGCTCTCTTCTGCGTGACTTACGCTCTCTTATGCGTGACTTACGCTACTCCAACGCCCAAGGCAAAGCAACACTAATATCCAAAGATTATTATAAAATGTTGTTTTTTTATAAAACGCATTCATTTCTAGTACGCATTCATTAACATAAATAGCATAACTCATTATCTCCCTAAGAACATAAATCATGGCTCTGATACCAAATCGGACAGGACCGTTCATCATATGAAATTAAACACAGATTAGTGATATAATATTGAAATAGCTATATATATATATATATAATATTTTTCTTCTACTAGGTGTGTTTCAATATGTAAGGTATATCAGGTGTGTTTGAAAAACTTACAAGAGAAACTTATTTATAGGAAGGAAAAGAGAAAGCAACCGGCTACCGATGGCTTCTACCGGATACAAATTCAACATATAAACAGTGAAAAGTTGGGGCATGATTGAGACATATGCCACAATTTTCAAACTCTTTTAGAAAAGCAAAAGCAAGATGCTTTTTTATTTGTCTTCGTCTTCCACATTTGTCAAATACAACTGTAAACGAACAGGTGTATTCCTATCATGATTTGTCTAAAGCGCTTTGTCTGCTAATCTTTTGAGAGTTTTGTCCTTGAAAAAGATTCTCCACTTGTCTTTTGCATCAGCTTCATCTTATAAAACTTGAGAAAAGAATAGGCAGCAATTGCAGATGGTACATAGATTTTAATCGTAGGAGTCTCTCCCAAAAGTGAGTAGTCTTCAGATGCTAATATTTCAGAGTTCCAAAAAAAGTCTGAATAGTGAACATGGTAATACCATATCTTTAAATCTTCAATGGATTGACCGGAGATGTATTGCCAATTAGGACAATGAAGTGATAACTTATCGTCCCATTCTGAAGAGAAGGTTTTTGAAAGTATCTTGATAGCTGAACAACTAGGTTCAGGTTCAGATTTCCAGAATTTTGGAGGTGAAGAATAAATGTCCACCAAGATGATATAATCATCGTAAGTCTTAACCAATTCAATAGCTTCGATAACTCGAACTGGAAGCCATTTGATTTGATCAATGTCAGATAGGATTAGTCTGCAAAGTAATTCATACTTGAAAAGATCATGAAAACTTATTTTTTTCATTTCGAAACATTTGTTCAGATGCAATAGATAAATCAATTTGAACTGTTCTAAAAAATATTCGTTTTTCATCATCTGGTATTGGAATTTCTTCCAATTGTACAGAGAAACCTTGAATAAGTGATCGGGATATAACCATCAGCCATTCTTGGTATTTTATAAAGATGAAGCTGATGCAGAAAACAAATGGAGAATCTTTTTCAAGGACAAAGCTCTCAAAAGATTAACAGACAAAGCATGATAGCTTTAAGATGATCTATGATGATCTATATATATCTATATATATATATATATCTATATATATATATATATATAACTCAAGCAAAACAAATAAATAATAAGAAGTTGCAACATGAACCCTAGTTGTGAATATAAAGTAAATTAAAAAATAAATAGAAGAAATTAGATTTTACCTATAATTCCGAGACCACCGATTCCAACAATGAAGGTAAAGATCATAGCCATGGGATCTTATATGTTGTAGATCTGTGAAAAGAGAATGAATCTGCACAAACCGAGGGAGCTTCCACGTCTTCCATCGCATAAATCCGTATGATGTTAGACCAATCTAAACACTTGGAAAATAAATGGATATGAAGATCGGAAAAGGACACAATCTCGCCGGTAACTGTCACCGGCGATGGTCTAATGCAGAAGCAACTTCCGAACAAGAGTTTGCAGTACAAAATTGAAGGAATTTGACGAAGGAGAGGAGGGAGAGATAAATGCGTTGCCGCTGAGTCCTGTGGGTAAACCCTATATTTATTGTTTTTATATTTTTATTTTGGTATCTTATTTGGGCCTTTAAATTGATGGGGAAATTATATTTTTATACTGCAAGTGGCTTAAATTTTTATATGATTATTTTTGGTTTATTAGGTGCCGTTTGGTAAACGTTTATCCGAGTAAGCACTTATTAAGTCACTTTATTTTATCGGATTAGTATGACAATGATTAGAAATCTTACCTAATAAGAGCGTAAACAAGAATCGAGAGTCTTATTCGGTAAGTGAGGACGATGACTCTTATCATGGTTAGCGCTTCCCGGGGTAAATTGTTGCATACGATGTGTTTTAGTGAATAAAATCTTACCCGGTAAATAAACAATTGCGTGTTGAATTTTATCGGTAAATGTTTACTGGGTAAGTGTTTAGGTAAACGGTCCTTTAATGAAACTTTATTATATGAAAACTATTTATATAATATTTATCATCAATAATTAATAATTAATTTATGTTAGACTATAAGAACTATTTCATATTCTAAAACTATATTTATAATTACAAAAAATTAATTTATATTTAAAAATAAATGAAACATGTTATAATTAGATATTTTTAAGGTAGTGAGATAAGAAATGGACAAAAAAAAATAAATATTAATTACGAATATTGAAATATAGAAATTTTGGGGGTTTTTTCCCAAAAAAATAATATTAGTTAAGGGTTGTTTGTTTACTTTTAATAGTTTCATTTAAAGGTAACCTCTGAATCGTTAAGAAGTGAATCTTGTTCACAAGCTGTTCATATTGTTCACAAGTTGTTGACAAAAGATCGTTCATGAATGTGTTTATAATGAAGTAACTATTGTTCACAAGCTGTTCATATTGTGTTTATAACTGTTTATTTATTTATTTTCTTTCGTATAGTAGTTATTCTTATTATGTTCATATTGTGTACGTAAATGTTATGCAGTCCAAGTTCATATATATGTCAATTTTTTGTTCGTATTTGACACAATGGTTCATATATATATAGTTGTGTTCACATGGTTCTTACATTAACAAAAATAAATTAAAAAAAATCATATAATTTTTTGATTTTGTAACTCTCAATTAATGATATGGGAGTTACATATTTTTTTTTTACCTAAATACCTTTTTCAACTTTGTTCACTTATATTTATGAAATTTTAAATTTTAAAAAATAAGTTTTTATCATGATTAATCACAACCGTTTATTGAAAGATTGAATGGCCAAGATTGGTTAACAAAGTTATCACAAAAGCTTTAGTTAACATTTGAACATGGCCCTAATGTTAACCAAAGCTTTTGTGTTAACTTTGTTAATTGATCTTGGTCATTCAGTCTTTCAATAAACGGTTGTGATTAATCATGATAATTTAAATTTAAAATTTCGTAAAGATAAGTGAACAAAGTTGAAAAGGTTATTTAGGTAAAAAAAATTATGTAACTCCCATCTCATTAACTAAGAGTTACAAAATCAAAAAATTCTATGATTTTTGTTAATGTAAGAACCATATGAACACAACTATATATATATATATATATATATGAACTTGGACTGCATAGCATTTATGAATATAATAAGAATAACTACTATACGAAAGGAAATAAATAAAAAAACATATATGAACAGCTTATGAACAATAGCAAATAATCCCATAACCCCGATGCTATAAACATCTGGTGCAAACACTTACACAAATATAAAGATTTGATATCAAGCTTAACAAATAACACTTGTGTTCATATGATAGAAGTAACATGAACACAATGATTCATGATTCATAAAAGTCGATAATATGACAATATGAAAATGGGACGTGCATGTAATTCCATTTGAACATGTGAATTAGGTACGTATTAATAATTAAAGAAAAAAAGTTATCAACGCAATATGAACTACAAAAAATACAACACAACATAATGAACATAATTTCGATTAAAACGAGTCTAATAAAATATTAATCTATTACCAAGACATTCGCTTTGGTTAATTTCTTCACTTCCCGAACTCGAACTCCGATTGTCACCATAAACCATTTTAATCTTCCCAATGTTGTCGATTTTTTTCTAATATGTTTATCCATAATAGCTTGAACGATACCGAAGATTTTACTACCGTGTTTCCTCTACAAATCAAAAACTCATAAAACAATATAAATGGAAGATCAAGATTAAAAAATAAATAAAAATATCAATATTATAAATGCATATTTTTAGGAATTTTATGATTTTGTAACTCCCCTTTAATGGTATGGGAGTTACATAGCAAATGAAATTACTCAATTACCCTTGACTATAAATTGTGAACATGATAGAAACCTAATAGAAGAATGAATTGTGATTGGTTGACATGGTTTACAAAGTTAACACAAAAACTTTGGTTAACATTTGATCTTGTCCCTATATATATATATATATATATATATATATATATATATATATATACACACACACACACAGAGATAGTAGGATCGTGTAGGCAGTGGCGAATCTAGAAACTTTTATAGTTGGGAGCACACTTAGGGGTGTAGAAAAAAAATTCAAAAACCAAATAATTCATCCAGATGAAAACGGTTTTGGGTTTTCTTTTTCGGATTAAACGATTCAGTTAACCGAATAAAGATAACTTATTCAGGTCGATTTTCAGTTGACTTTTTACTAATTCATCGAGGTGTATAATCTTTATATATTATATTTCGAATGATAATATCAGTGTGTGTTACAAATGAACCAATCAACAATCAAAATATCAAGTTGGGGGGCTCTTGCCTTGTTCTTGTTGGACGCCACAATAATAAAATTTACTAAACAAATCTTGTCATAGCTTTTTCTTTTAAAAGTTGGTGGGTTTGTCGGAGGCCTAGAACCCCTACCACCATGCACTAGATCCGCCCCTGCGTGTAGGAACATTTTTTTTGTAAGGACTATAAGACCCCCTTCAATTTTTTCTTTAAATATTCATGAATATAAGTTAGCATACCCCCACAATCTTCACACATATCAACATGAAAATTTTAGCACGTCTTAACCTGCAATCTTAACGCATCTTAATACATAGTAACACACAACCACCATGAATACCTCAATATATATCTTATCACATCCTAACACATGATAAGACACCTCAACTCATATATATGAACATCGATGATGCAGTGGCTGAAGGACCGATCTGCCTCTCTTTCATTTTCAATAGTGTGAGAGCCTACGAACAGGCATTCACGATCGACACCCATGGGGGTATTTCTACAGATCCGATAGATTGTGGAATTCCTATCAGAACCCAATCCCATATGTTCATAATCTTTTTACTCTTTTCTTATTCTAAATTTATAATGTTTAACATTGGATTGGATCGGGTTTGGTTTTATTGGATGCTAAATTGTCATCCAAAAACCGGATGTTGAAATTTTGGATTCGATCCAATCCAATTACAATTGGATTTTCGATTATGATTGATCAATTCTTATTGAATCAAATGACTTTCTACATACCCCTGGATTTGAAAACATGATTCATGGTCATTACCAATCCATTTCTATCAAATACAATTTTTTTAAATAACCGATTCAATGACCAATTACTGAAAGAGGTTAAGTTCCGGTAAGAATGAAAGTTATATTGAAAAATATAGTAAGAGATCTCCATCCTTAGATCAATCCTAATTGAAAATCAACACTAATGAGATGCATCAGATCAATTCCCATGAGAAGTGCAATTCATGAGATGGGGTGAGATTAAAAGTAATCAAGAGTCCAGATCTCTTCTTACGAAACCAAATAATACTTCTTGCAAAAAAATGTAATAAAATTGTTTTAATTACTAATCAGATGTCCAGAATACATTCAGTAACACAAGTTTTCTTAACCAAATCAAGAACACATCAATAGGGTGCAGGGAGGAACACACTTGTACAACACTCACACTGTGGGTATATTTGCAGGTATTGTGCTTTTCCATATACCCCCCACCCCCAACACCCAAGAAGAAAAAACCACAATAATACAGATCTAAAAAGCCTTTTGACATCAACTAAGCAACCAACAAAGCTCTAAGGATCTCTACAAGAGAGTTATTTGCTTCTATTTTCACTCTGCTTTCTCTGAAGTCGATGGCTCGGGTCAAAAAGTCAAAATACGGATCCTTCAAACGGAAGTGCTTCATGAATCAGAAACCTAACTTAATTTACATGGATGCAATACCAATATGACTAGCATCTGTATTGAGAGAGAACAATTTGGAAGCCTCTGCAATTGCTTCTGCGGAACCTACAAAAGAGACGAGTTAAACAGAAGGCTACATAATTTGCTTAAACAATAGAGAGATTGATTGATGCAAAAAAAATGCCATTTCGGTTCATGGCCTCAATATGAGAATCACGATAAAGTAGATTGTTAACATGGAGGAGGGGAGTTTAGGGTCTTATGTCTGATAGAGGGTGGTCTTAGGGGCCGTTTATCAAACGCTTGCTCAGGTAAGCGGTTACCAAGTCAAATTACTTTATTGGATGAATATGGCAAGGGTCAAGACTCTTACCTGATAAGGTAGACAAGGACCGAGAGTTTTACCCAATAAGTGGGGACAACGACTCTTACTATGGTTAGCGCTTACCGGGTAAATTGTTGCATAAGATGTCGTTTTTGTTGACTAAAATCTTACCCGGTAAGTAAATGGTTATTGGCCTAGCGGTACCTGGGTTAGCAGTAGCGCTCAGCCTCCTAGGAGGCCAAGGGTTCAAACCTCATCAAAGGTGAGGCGTGTGCATGAGTATTTGCCGTATGTAAGTGTATATAATTTTTTTAAAACTACTTCAAGGAAATAAGATTAATATGACCTCCTTGAGAAAAATCAAACGACATGAGGTAGCACGCATGTACCTTTGCGACATACTCACATGAGTCACATCCATGGATCCAATCAATTCATCGTCCTGAGACCCTGTAGTTGAGGACAAGATCCTCAGACTTTTTCCATATATAGGCTCGTACAGTGGCTAAGCTCATTTCGGGTGTTAAGACCTGCATAAGAGAAGCAAATGTTTAAAAGAACTGTCCATATGTTCTAATAGTTTCCTATGGAGTTGCATAATAAATGAAATATTGACACAAAACATTTGATCATTTCTTTTACTACAAACAGATTATGTTTTTGAAGCTACAAGACCATCTCAAAATAAATATATATACGAATACACCATTGTCTTTCGCGATAGAAGCTACTTCCAAACAAAAAATATCATGCGTATGCTACTTTATGTTTTTCGTGAAATAATAGGACAACATGCATCAAATTGCAGTAAAGTTTGGTTTGGTTCCTATTTAGTGCAATGAAGAATTTTTTTTCTCAATTGATGTAGCAAGTTACTTATTGTGTACCCTTTTTGACCAGTAACCTGCTGATCTTATAACATTTTATGACATGGATATCCGTCTACGAAAGATTTACGTAAGGGTTACGGCAAATTAGATGATAAACTGTAACATCAACGTCATAAATGTTACGAGCCAAAATGGGTAAAAAAATAGAAAATCTTAAAACTTTTGTTACATTGATTTGAGAAAGAAAAATCTTAGTTACACTAAATAAAAACAGAAGCAAACTTCGTTGTTTTTTGATGCATATTGCCCGAAATAATATGGAAAAGATTTTAGATAAAAAAAAGTTGGAAGAGTTTCTTCTGGTGAGTCTGGAATATAAGTTGAGTTAAACGATAAAAGTTTTTAAACTCACAGCTAGATCCAATCCCAAATTTTCTGTTTTGGGAATAAAGACCAAATCAAAGCTGCTAAAAGCAATGTCATTATGAATGAAGTCAGGAACTTGCCTGATTATTGCACAAGATCTCTATAGAAGGCTTAAGCTTTTGCCAAGGCTTCAATCCTGATCTAAGGGAACCATCTCCAAGAATTGAATGCTGCAACTGCCCTCCAGGCAGCCCAGGAGCAAAAGTTCCGTCACCACTCAAGCTATCCAATGGCTTGTCTAGAACCATCTTCTCCACAACATAGTTAATAACCTGTAAGGAAATTAATAAACTATATTAATCTGAGCACCGTTGCCTGCATATCAGTCATTATGCCCTAATTTGAATATGTAGGTTTATAGTGTTAAGGATGAGCCGGGACTTCAAGACTAGGAACACTAGTAGATATCCCATTCTTCTTTTGTCCACTCATTTTAAGTCGGCACATGATAACTAAAATGAAGCCAAACTAACTCCATATGTCCCACCCGGAGGTGGGATTTTTTTTTTTTTTTGGGGGAAGCAGACCTAAAGAGTCGAGCATCGGTNAGGTGGGGGAAGCAGACCTAAAGAGTCGAGCATCGGTTTCAGTGAAGACCTCCCCGGCTTGGGCAAAGTGTGCAAAAAGAAATGACAAAGCTTGCTCAGAAAGATAAAGAACAGAAATATAGATGAAAATGCATATTTAAGGTCATTATTATCATACAGCACCTTGTGTATTCTTAAAATCCTAGGTGCACTCAGTTTCCCTTGCGTCAAGATTTGGGCTGCTGAACCTTCACATGGATGTAAATAAAAGCTGCACCTGAAAAGAGAGACACTTAAATGAGCATCGTCCAATTATAGCTGGTAAGAGACAGCAATGACAAGTAGCTAATGAGAAACTGCTAAAGCTTTAAAGGTGTTCCATATGCCATTCATATTGTGCTCTTGTATTGCATATAAGACGGGAGACATGGCATCCAAATTACAAAGAAGTATGTTTACTGTTAATGTCTCAATGTCCGAATTTTTAAACCATGGGTTGTACAAATAATCTGAAACTACTCACCTAGTAACTGTCGCAAAATAAATGTCCATGATAAAGAAAATACACATTCCAAAATCTGTAATTATTACACTTTTTAATCAACTGAATGAAAGTTTTACCTAAGATAGAGGTAAACCTTCTCTCTCTCTCTCTCCATCTTATCAACTCTTGCATACTTGTAAGTCATAATTAAAGGTAGAGTTTGAACTTTAGTAAATTATAACTATCCATTTTAGAAAGTGGACGCTTATTTTGGTACATACTTAAACAAAAATGTGTTATTTTGGGACGGACGGAGTATGTTGTAAGCCACAAAAGCAAAGAGAGAGAGAGAGATGAAAATGAGTATAAAAATTGAGAGCAATGAGAATAAAGAATTTACTTGGTATGTTCCCTGGGGGGCAGCCGATTATGCAAGATACAATCTAAAACCCACCAAGGGAAGTCCTTCTCATCTTCAGTTCCATCCAGGTCGGTAATTTTCTTCCTCCATGGTCCACTCTGAGAACCCTCGGTAATAATTGAAGGCGGGGAAGTTGTTGAGAATTCAAATGGAGGATACACCATAGAGTCATTTTCAGCATTACCATCTACCTCAACTCTCGAAAGTGTAATACTCCTGGCAGATATATCTCTGCCAGAAGAAAGTTCTCCATTAGCTGAAGGTTGGGACCCGAATCTATGTTTTTTCTTTGCCAACCAATGAGCCAACAGTCCTTTGAGGGTTTCTCGAGCCAAATTAATCTGAAAAGAACAAAGAGATTATTCTATTGCATGAACAAAGTTAAGCGGTTTCATTACTCCACCCAGAAATTAAAATAGACAACAGTTCCATTATCATGATGAAGGGCTCGAGCCTTACCTTTACTCCATTAGATCAACCATTAGAAGTAACCTAAGCCAAGATCTCATACTTGCAAAATTAGAACTAAAGGACAACGAGGATGCTAGTGAGGGGATAGAAGAATCTTAGTCCTAAAAAGGTGTTCCCTTTTGTTGGTTAGGTTGGTTCTTTTATGGGTTGGGTTTACATAAAAAAAGTGTTCTCACCAATATACATCGCACCCCTACAAACCATATAACTTCTAACAATTAAATATGTTAAGCACCCCATTCAATAAGATTTTCAAGAAAACATGTCCCTTGTTGCATACACACTTTGTACCCATACCCTTGGTTCGCAGGCTATTACTTAAATTGATATATTCAAGAAGACTACCAAAGACTATGAATACTTCAATCCTTGTGACATTTAAATTGACTAAATCGATTTCAGCTGCATTAAGTTAATTAAATGTAACTTTGTAGTTCAAAGCATTAGAAAGAGATGTTTCAGCCTCCATAACTTCATGTGCTTTAAGTTATAAAATCAAAGATTGCCCAATTTATATATGGATACAAAATACACAAGCCACCAAGGTAAACAAACACACAGGAAGATATGCACCTTGTCATCCTCAGCTCTCTCAGTGATATTGAGGTCAGCAGAATACATTTCTGCAGAAAAGCACTGGGGGGTATCCAAATGTATTGACAAACTCCCAAGCCTGGTATCAGCTGTGAACCATGCAGGAATGCTTACCTAGAAAAGCATGATAAAGTCAGAAGAAGAATTGATGAAGTTCGCATATGTTGTTCCTATATCTATTGATACATACCATCTCAAACAGTTCTTCCTTCTTCTTTTCAAATGAAACCTAGAACATGAAAACTTGAAACGTGAACATTATGAAAGAAGTATATCAACCAACTTGACTAGGTACCAAGCCGCAAAAACAAAAGTAAACATATAAAAATTAAATTAAACGGCAATCTAAAATGCATGCAAATACAAATTGCCTGCTTAAGTGATAGCTGTCAGTGGACATATCACTTTTCTGGTGTGTTTGGTACACAGGACAGGACAGGATAGGGTTCACTATTCCAAGTTTGGCAGAACTTTTATGTGAAACAGAGTGGAACAACGTGGAACACGCGTGTTCCACCCCCACCCCATGGAACAAGCTGGAACAGACTTATGTTTTACCAATATAACTTCAAAATAAAACTTAATTCTCTTCTAAAACATCAAATATGCCTTCCTCTTTACATTTTATTCATTATAGTTTATGTTCTTTAAACTTTCACTTTACTGTCCTCAAAATATTATTTTTATACGGTTTCTATATTTTCCTTAATTTATTAAATATTAATAATTAAAAAAAGAAATATAGAAAAGGTATAGAATAAAAATTGTAAGCTACATAAAACTTTTTTATTTTGGTGTCATTTTAATTGTCTTGACGAAAACTTGCTAATGATATATTTTGTTATATAAAATATTTATTTCATTATAATTTAATAAATTTACAATATTAATTAAAATATATAAACAAATTATTAGTTGTAAGTTGGTCATTTTATCTGTTCTGTGTTGTCCAATTTTGTCTTACCAAACATTGAACAGTTGTTTTGTCCTGTTCTACCATGTCTGGATACCAAACGCACCCTTAGTGCTCGTGTGTGTGTTGAGGGGGGGGGGTGTTACGCAACCTTCTAGATGCTCATGTATATTAATCTAAAACAGCATGTTAGTAACCTGGCCATAGTCCTCAATCACAACACCTCTAGTGATCTCCCAAAGCTTCACAGAACCAGCATTATCCTAAAGAGACATGTGGCACCATCAGTTCTGTGAATCAAGTTGTTCAAGACATTCATGGCAACATAAAAGACAAGAGATGTTCTTAAAACAGTTAAAACTGTTGAAAAATGTAAGAGAAGGGCAAAAGATCAATATTACCTTGGTCAAGACATGCCTTCTATTGTTCAATATTTCATGTTGGACTATCCCTGGAATTCCACCAATACTGAAGGTGGGCTCTCTATACACAGGAACCTACACATCAATGGCATCCGTAAGTTTGCTATGTATGAAAAACAGTCATACATCCATCCATCTATACATGAGAAGAAACGTGAGAAACCTACATCCAACTTGCAAGAACATTACAACAATACATGCAGCCTTTTATCCCGACATGGTTAGGCTAAATATAAACACAATAGAAATATTTGGTCTTTCCACTCACTCACTTTTTTCTTCCCTCAACAGGCCTTGGCCGGCAAGTAAGGATGTGTTTTCAAAACCACAAGGGTTGTGGTGTATTGGTTGAGGCTCTGGTGATGTGGTGGAATATCTCATCTGCCCAGGGTCCAATTACAGCCATACACATCAATTGTGGCCACTAAGGAGTCGTTCGTTCGCGGATTCGAAGGAATTTGATGGAATTGGAATGACAAATTCCTTTGACCACATTCCAATTCCTTTGTTTGGTTCACTTCTTGAAATGGATGGAATCCTTCAAATTCCATCGAATTCCATAAATCAAGGAATTCATCATTCCTTGGCATAATGGAAGGAATTGAATTCCATCCTTTTGCATCAAATTTAAATAACACCGACCACCCCAACCCCCACTACGACCATGCTATTATTGTCATTGTCACGCCCCACCCCTAACCCTTCACCACCGCACCGCTGCTGTCGTCTTCACAACAGCCACCCACCCCCACCCTAACCTCTAACCCACCACTGACCACCATGCCACTACTGTTGTCGTCACAGCTACCGCCCCACTCCACCCCCACCTCACTGACCACCACCCCACTATTGTCGTCATCACAACTGCCACCCCGTACCCGACCACCATGCCACTATTGTCATCGTCATAGCAATCCCCGGCCACATGGGTGAGGTGGGGTAGGGATGAGAGTGGTGGGGTGGGGGAACCGGGGGCNGTGGGTAGGACTAAGGGGGATGGTAGGTTCCAGGACTAGGGTGGGTGGTGCAGGAATAGGCTTGGGGGTGGGGTTGGTAAGGTGGAGGGGCAGGCGATTGGACCGGAGGCGATGATGCGGGGGACCGGGTGGAGCGGTTGGATAGGACCAGGGGAATAGGCTTGGATAGGACCGAGGGCGATGGTTGAGGTGGTGTGGGGACTTGGGGTTAGGGTGTCGGGGGGAGGGATGGTGGTTGGGGTAGGGTGGGGGTGGTGCCACCGTGACTACCACCAATACCACTACCATGCCACCCTAAACCCTCTCCCACACCCACCCACCCCCAGCTCCGACCACCAATATCACCATGCCACTAATGGAGATTCCAATTCTTTTGAGAGATTCCATTCCAATTCCTACCAACCAAACGTGTAGTCAAATTCCATTTCAATTTCTCCAAAGTCAAATTCCTTTGATGGATTCCAATTCCACCAAATTCCATTCTGCGAACCAAATGCCCCTGAGTTTATCAAGGTTGATTTCTTGCTGTCACAATATGTCGAGATTAGTCTAGGAATAGCCTGAGACACCATTCTAAAAAAAGGGATGTGTTTTCAAGGCTGATTCACAAGCATTGTATATGAGAAGCAGTTTTATAGGACTCCTTGGGGGGTAAAATTGATTCAGACAATTGACTGCATTCATGTTATCAGAGATCATTCAGCCTAAGTAGGAATAAGATGACTCACAGGGGTAGATCCTTCTAGGGAGGCCCTTGCCCTTGAAAAAGACAAGTTTCCAGCCAGGAAGGAACCGCCTCTTTGAAACACCTTCTCAGGATTCAGGCCTTCAGAAGGCCATCTGTGCACAGAAGAATCTGTTGTTGCAACCCATATACCATCGTCATGCAGTGCTAATTGCTGGATAGGATGTTCCTTGGTGCAAAGCAATACACTCTCTCTTGTGGAAAGATCTGTCAAGTACAACTACAAGTAGAAAGGGATAAGCGATGATGCACTGGCAATGACAAATATGGTCTCGCAAGACTCGTAAAATAAATCAAGGCAACATATGTACTCATAAAGACAGAAGCACACTCACAGAAAGATCTCTTCCACCACTATACACGTGACTAAATGTTGGAGTGCTAGCAAGTGCCCATACAGAATCCGTATGAACAGCATATGAGTGAACGCACCGCTGCTGCCCAAGATCCCACAATCTACCACAAGTATACATTAAGTCGTCATTTTCATCATAAAATCAAGAATTTTTTATGAAACAACTTTGTTTGTCTTAATTATAGTCCCCCATTAGTGAATAATATGGCATCACGATCGTAACTGTCATGCATACTAACAGCAAAGATCCTTAAACCTTCAAAGAAGACCCAAAAACTTAGGCATCTTCATAGATGGTGTTGTTCTAGAAAGACGCATCCATTTTTTAGCCCATTTACAACTTTGGCAGTAGTGTCAACAAAATAAAACCAGAAGATATCTGTTTGAAGAAAGTTTCTGATTACATTGACAGCCTATTTTTCCGTTTTGGTAGTTTATAGAAGAAATAAAAAGAACTTATTAGGGACTGAATCAATTAATCTGATGGAGGAAGTGATAGATAATTACTAGGGAAAAACTTAACCATGAAGATGCGTACCTAATCATAGAATCAGAGGATCCCGATAAGCAGAACCTGCAATCATGTAATTGAAGTACTATTATGCACTCATATTGACCAAATAGTTTAATGATTTAGAAGAATAAACCTTGTTCAGGAATCATTGAAATACATACCAATTGAAAAGCAGAAACAAGATGCAACTAAGGTCCAAGCACACTTAAACGTTCTAGCTATAGATTCTTCATGATGCTGCATTTAATCTCTAGATGCTATTGATTCTTGACCTTCTACGAAAAATACTAGGACTACAGTATAATTAATTGATCTTGCGTTAGAATACAATAACTAGAGCCAATAATTGTCCGGAACACAATACCAACATGTGTTGAGGTTATGTACCACCACCTTTGCTCCACTAGGAACATTACTAAACCATCTTTGCACCAGTGTTCCATAAAGCCCCTCTCAGGTCACTCAATCGGCCACCTAGGTGTCAACCCCCCCCCCCCCAAAAACCCCCTCCCTCTCTCACTGCCAGGACCACTTGAAATTGTCAACCACTCAATATGTTCAAAAACATTAAGTACGAATATTCCAGAGATATTGTAATCTTAACAAGTAACAAAACCATCCCTAAATACAGGTTACACAAACATAGAGAGATTACAGTAATGAACAAACAGGCATGACAAACATAAAATCTCCAACACTTCCTCATAACATCAGCACCTGTACATTTCATCAAAATAAGCAATTCAACTATGCAAGATGAAGGGCATTCATAGCTTCTTTCATAGAGAAGAGAAGTTTATAACTAAGTTGCATACTTATTGCTATGGATTCATTCATCTACCAAGTTTCAAGGACACTATGTCAAGAAAAATTCTAAAGAACAAGATTGACTTGTAAATGGACATCAAAATTTTGTTCTATATCAAATTAAATCCAAGTCTATCAAGTCCCTAAATCCTGTCTGCTCCATCAGTCTAAACAAATAATATAGATGAGAAAACAAACCTCCCCGTAGAGTCAAGAAGGAGCGCCCTAATATTATCTGTGTGCCCTCGAAGCTTCATCATCTTCGTACCAGTTCTCGAATCCCAAACACGTACAGCCTACAAAAAATTAAAAATCTATAGAGATGAACCCTCCACATAATGATTTCTATGCTAAGCTACAGTTGCATACATGAGTAACAAAGAAACATCTGAACTGCTGCTTAACAAAAACAAACCCTACAATAATTAAGTCAATAACAGAGTTCTCAATAGAAGGTGCATGGAGAAAAAGGAACATCATAGCATCAACATGCAGTTTGCATCATAACTCAGAAAGAAGTTTACAGAAGCAACTACTACATTATATACCTTCTCCGTTCCACCAGACACCAGAAGCGTTCCAGTATCATTCATTGCTAATGCATAAACAGACTCCTTATGTCCTTTAGCAGCAATTGGAACATATCCTTGAGGCTGATTCGTGTGTGACGTAATGCTGTTGCTTGAGCTGATCGTACGTAAGCTAGTAACTGGCAATGAATTTCCTGAACCATTAGTTACATTTGAAGAATCACCATCAGCTGCCTCACTGGTCTTCGTTAATGGAGCAAGGGCAGCTTCAAGATCCCAGATGAATACCTCTCCACCCAAGCCACCAGAGGCAACAATATTGCGCTAAAAGGATGAGAAGACAAATAAAAATTAAGTACTAGAAATTGAACCTGCACACTGAGCTCACAATTTCAAATATAAGAGGTGCCATATTTTCAATAGAAGGTCTACAAAGCCTTCTTCAATGAACTTAACAAAGAATGGAAAACATATGTTGGCCATAGAATTTACATTTTTTTCTGTGGCAGCAAGACAAGTAACATAATCTGTGTGTTGACGGAAAGTCCTTGTGCAAGTTCCATCAGAAAAGCAATCCCAAGCCTGGTACAACCCAGCATAGTATTAGTACAAACTATATGAACATTAATGCAGGGATGTAAAAATCAGTTACACATGAAGAAAACCTTGATGGTAGTATCGGAGGAGCAGGAGACAAGGGTATTCCCTCCTACAAGGACTGCATCATTGACCTGTATAACCAAACTCATTTCTTTAATGGGTAATAGACTTGTATTTATAAGAAGTTGAAGTACTATTAATTGAACATATGTTCCTATAAAGAGTGATATAGGTATCTCAAATCAGCCTAAGGTGGATAAAAGGAGTCCAGATATCATAATAGTCAAGAATCCCGCGGATGAAAAATTGAACAACTATATCTTGTAGCTACTTAAGTTGCATCTGAAGGCCAAAATTTCACAAGATGTCATCATCAAAAACTTCCATCTCATTGATAATTAACATTTATATAAAATTTAAGTCAAAAAATAACAAAACATCAACTTGTAATACTGGATGACAGTACCCTCTCAAATACAATAACTGATAGTAAACAGTACCGGTCATTTAGAAATATACCCAGTCAACATGAGACTCAAAAGTAGTTGAGCAGGTAGCACCCTCTTCACCCAATGCCCATCTCTTCAACGTGCCATCACGGCTCCCGGTGAAAAGGTAACTACCATTATCTGGCTCTGAAGGGTTTAAGACAGCCAAACAGTTCACACCTGCACAATGCTGCAAAGAGAGGGGCTCAAAATTTCATTATAATAAGAGAGAATCAGAAATAGAACAGATAGCAAGAACTTTTTAGCTTGTTTCCCTTTAATAGAAGGTGCGCTGTATTCTCTGGCTGCAAGTGGGTAAATTATTTCAATTACCATCAAATTGGTATATGTTCTGATGCTTTATTCATTAAGAGGAAAATCCGTTAATATGGACACATGAAACACAATTCATAAGGATAAAGAACTAATAATTTACAAGGATGAACACTGATGGTAGATGAGCTAAGATGACTATTTCAGCACTCCTCAAGTCGGAGCATGGATGTCTATCATGCCAACTTGCAACATATGAAGTCTATCCAAGTTTTCTGTATCCATTTTCTCAAAATATCTACAAGCTGGTGTTCTAACCAAATATAAATAGGCAAAATAAGCAAGAGACTCTGTCTACATACCCATCCATGACACAATCCCTCACAAAATGACAGTCAACCTCTGGTCCTCTTAAAAATATTGATCCTTGGCTATGTGGTTAGCATATTTGACCTAGTCAGTAATTTGGTGGGAATTTCTCAATCAGTGGGGGTCTTCTCGGGATAGAGGAAAGGTATGTGTGCATCCTACCCCATACTAGGTTCATTTGTTTTGATTTGATTTAGTATTTTGGTGGGAATTCCTAACTCAAGTAGCAAGCTTGGTCCATATCATCCTGCAAATTATATCTGTCATAGCTTGAGACTCTACGTTAGATTGTGATACAGTCTGTTGCATCTTGCATTTTTCCATGAAACGAGATTATCAACCAAGAAGACACAATAACCAACAGTTGAACAACGAGTGATTGGGGAACCTGCCCAATTTGCATCGGAGGATCCTCAACATTTTCAGATCCTTCCACAGCAAAAGCACTCTCTGAAGTGATTCTAATCAGAAAACAAGATCCCCTTTTGTGGAGTTGCTTTGACTTTGAGATACCTCAAAATCCAAACAGCTGCAACCCCGTGATAGTCAGAGGAGATACAAAATTCATTGACTAACTGTCAGCGCATACAGAGAATAATTAACCATGATGGTGGAGTAATGAATGTAACGTTTTGTAGAAGTTGTATAATTTAAGTTTCCTACCAGTCACCTGTATTAGTCGCCGTATGAGTTGTTTTAGTTGCCGTATTTGTCTCCTGTACTTTTTCTCTGGATTTTTCAAAGGCTTTCTGACATCTAACAATGGTTTCCATTCAGAACCATGGGAGAATCCATAGTTGGTAACCCAGTATCCCACGTTTTACGATAAATCTAATAAATACTTTCTTGGCAAGACAATATCCTTTGATGGGAGCTTGGGATCAAGAAACTGTAGTTCGTAGAATACAACAAAGACGTCCTAAAACGGTAACCCGATTTTTTTTACCAATAAAGCTCTTTCGATCAGTGATACCCTGACAATAATCCCCTGTCAATTCTATGTCATCCACATATACCACTAGAATAATATGTAGATTCTATCAATGTGAGTAGAGTACCACAATCTAGATTGTAAGAAACATGTGAGAAGCAACTCAACCATGCTCTAAGAGACTACTTATGACCACACCAGGGGTATCACAATTTATTGTTTATGGTTCGACGCATACATTATATTTGAATCATTACAAAGTTGCATGTACATGTCTGAAGTGGAGAGCATGTCTCGGATCTTTGCGACAAATACACAAACAACTAAGCTACTCAAAAATCTTTGCTTATTTATTGAACTCCATGAGAACTTGATTGCATTTAAAATTGTAGTCACTTAGTCCATTCTCAATAGAAGTGCATGTGATAATGTCCAAAAAGTTTATAACATCTAAATGTGAGTTAGATACCTAAAAGTTGTTATCTATGTGCTATTGACGATGGAGGAAGATAGAGTTGCAATAGATCTAGAGTTGGCACCGGAGATGCAACCACAGTTTTAGCTCTCGAGCCATTCAGTAAGGGCCTGTATACCTAGGTGATGGGTTTTATACTTGAGGCTAAATTCGTCAAATATCATCTTAAATTATCGGAGAACCACACTACCAAGAATGTTAACTCCAGTCATATAAAAAGGGAAATAGTCACGGTAATTATGTAGAAAGATTCCCTCTAGATCTTATATGTATTTTAACTTCACACCTTATCATTCCAGGCAAATCTCTTCTTAAGTTAACGCCAACATATTCCGGGAATGTACAAGTATATGTCCATCAATAGCAAACATCTACAAAAATCATATTTACACATGGAAGAAACAGCGCAAACAAAGTGAACCCTGACCTTTGTGTAATCGGCATCATTTAACACATAAGTCAACCTTTTCTCCTTACGAGGACGGACTGAATTGGAGGCATTGCCTGCACTGGCCACACGATGCATTGCAGAATTTCCTATAGCAAATTTAAGAAACTTAAGGTATGAATATGAAACTGATTTCCTTTCAGACAGTCATAAAACGTCATACAGTCTTATATTACACTTTATTAAGCAAAAAGTATGGGAACTTAACAAGCATTAAACTCCTGTCTAAAGTAGAGAAAGAAAGGGATCATGTGATGCTGACATAGTGGTTGTTTAATATATATACTAGCTGCTGAACTTACGCAACCCTAAATTTCAACGACTAAAACGTGAATACATATGGCATTACCACTCACACATCATGCATGCCATCTATGATACTTATTCTTGCTGTTTCACATGAATAAACAAAACATCAGCAAGAAGTTACCCATGATAGGTATCAACTTCTTAAATCATCTCAAAATCTGATTTCCTTCAAGATGCCTGACTATTCTTTACTTTTCAAATTACTATATTAGTATCCCTCTTTTCCTGTTTGGGACAATACCCTAATTAATCTTTATCCACAAAAAATAGAATACCCTAATTAAGTCGCAATCATAAACAACACAAAAGGAGGAGTAAAAAAGGAAAATTTTATGGAGTTCATTTTCCTGGTATTTGTTGGGATAAAGCAAGAATTATTGGTTCCATAACAAGCTTCCTTTACAAAAAGGGGGATCTTGTAGATGACCTTTAGAAATTGATAAATACATTCACCATAACCCTCCATTCTACACCATATTTTCCTATTTGAATTCGAACTCTCCAAGAAATATATTAGAGTACCCATAAGTTTTTCTTCTTAACTACAGAGTATAGACTCCTATTAAGGATGCCCGTACGAAGGAAACGTAAGACCAGTAAAATTGAAAGAAGGGAGATGCATTGAGCTATAAGTTTTTTTTTTAATTCTTTCAGGTGGCAAACAAGTTCAACTGCTTTAACGCCATTCTACCATATCCCGGATTCATTCAATAAAAGCTAAACATCATTGAAGCCTTTTATCCATTACAGTCGAGAAACTGTCCATCCATTTTGGTTTTGAGTTCTAAAATCCATACATAAAGAATCATTGAGTTATTTGGTGGGGTTTAAGAATTAACAATACCTATCAAAATCATACTAGTAAAAATATATTTCATCTTCAAGAAGCTCAATAACCTTCACAGTTTTCATGAACAGGGAACCAGACAGTAATAAGTATGACAAGCCATGATCGAGCTAACAAAATAAACACAACATTATCTTTACAAAAATTATCTGATTGGAACTTCAACCTGCATCCTAGTACTGATAATTACAGAAAGAAAAACCCTAAGCAGCACCTGTACTCAAATTCGAAACCAAATCGCCACACGAAAAAGAAAAGAACTTCCCAATACAACAAGTCAAACTCCGGTTGAATTTAATCATCCAAAACTCAATCCCAATAATAACACAGAAAGACTTAGTGTTGCTTACCAAGATAGGAACAGAAATGAAGAAAAATAGATAAAAGAATCGTCTGATCCTTCAAATTTCAACTTCGATTTCTCCGAACGAAGTGAAACTTTCCATAGAAAACGATGCTCATATGCATCAAACAGTGTGAATTAGAAGCTGAAAGCAATGAATTGAAGTTAATTTCAGATGATAATCCTATCACCAATAAAGAATCAAAAAAGAATTGATGTGTATGTGGGAGTATTTGTGTATATGCACTTGGAGTTGATGTGTGAGTTGGAGAGAGAGAGAGGGAGGGGGGTTAGGGACGAAGAGAAGAGAGAGAGAGGATGGCAGTGAATACTGAGTTTCGATGGGGTTCGAGTGCTTTGACTCGGTTTTTCTTCATCTTTTCCTCATCTATTTTAACAAAGGCTACTTTTGTAATATATTATTTTATAAATCAAATTTATCAAAAACTTTAAAAACAATTTTTAATGTTCAAAATACTATACATTTATATACAAAGTTTTAAAAACAACTCATAATGTATTACATAATACTATTTTATATATTCAGTCTTAAAATCTCTTAATCTACAATTAAAATAACATATTATATAAGTTACCAATGCACATTATTACATTTTCTTTTCATGTTCCCAAAATACTTTTGACATCTTTCACTCATGTCTTCACCCTCTCATACATCTATTTCTTCTCTTCATCTCTCAAGGTGATATTCAAATGGATATTCACCATTAGTTATTAAAAGTTCTCTCATTCAATTGCTCTAGAACTCTTGGTCTCTTATTTTTTGTTCTTGGTGTAAATCAACCACATTTGTGGAGTCGTTTAAATATGTTGAATTTTAAATATATTGGATTTTAAACTGTCATGCAATTTTTTTTCTTCGATAGACTGTAATTGAAACCATAACTCTTATTTATTCAAATTGTATTAATATGTAAAGACCGAGTATAACTTATATCATTGTTAAATCTTCTCTAATAAAACCAGTGAAACTTCAAAATTGTTAAAATTCACGGCTTCCGCCGCATTGCGTCGGTAGACAAATAGTTTAATTAAAAATGAGATCATACTGAAAATGCAATTTTCAATAGACAGTGAAAAACCTTAACCGAATAATTCACTCGAATCAAATGAAGTTTGGATTGGGGGTTATTTATTTACACCTTAATAGTTCCATTAAGAAATAATATCTGAATCATTAAAAGATGAATCTTGTTTCATAAAAAAAAATGTTTGTTTCTTAATGGTTTTAAAACCAATGATTTTGTATCATGTGTCTTTGTTAACCATTCAACGTCTTAATTTTATTGTAAACAATTATATTTCATTTTGCACTATATCATTAAAGTTTTTTAATCATTTTATATCAAACCATTCAGCAATTGTGAAATAGTTTATTAGTTGATATTAAGGTTTTCTGTTTGGTTATAGTTCCGTATTTTGATTTTTGTGATTTGGTTTTTAGTTATTTTTGTATGGTTTTTAGTGGAAGAGGGGATTACTTTATTATTACTTTTAAATTTCATATTTATCAATTATCTTAATATTTAAAAAATATTAATTATATTTGGTCACTTCCACGTTCTGTATGTCCTGAATCCCAAGTTTGTATTTAAAGTATTAATAATTATATATATAAAGAGAGATTTGGGTTTACGTGAGATTAAGGGTTTTTTGTGAGACTCATAAGACTAATTTATGTTTATTGATCAATCTTATAAGCTAATGGTCTAAAGTTGCATGGTGACAATTTTGTGATTATTGAGAAGTCTCGTGGCAAATTATGAATATTCAGATTGTAGATCTAATCCAAGGGTTGAGAATTGGTCTTACGGGTCTTAGGAAAAACCTTTGGTCTTACATGATCCCAAGTCTCTTTCTTTCTCTTTCTCTTTCTCTCTCTCTCTCTCTAATATATATATATATATAATTGGGTTCACGTGAGACCAAAGGTTTTTCGTGAGACCCGTAAGACCAATTTATGTTTATTGATCAGCCTTATAAGTTAATGATCTAATGGTCTAAAGTTGCACGGTGGTAATTTTGTGATTATTGAGAAGTCTCGTGGCAATTTTGTGATTATGAATGTTCAAATTGTAGATCTAATCCAAGGGTTTAGAATTGGTCTTACAGGTCTCACATGATCCCAACCCCTCTCTCTCTCTCTCTCTCTCTCTCTCTATATATATATATATATATATGTATAGACTTGGAAAAAACCGTTGGTCTCACGTGAACCCAACCCTATATAAACCAATTCATGTCCATTGATCAACTTTATAAGCTAAAGATCTAATGGTCTAAAGTTATACGGTGGTAATTTTGTGATTATTGAGAAGTCTCGTGGCAATTTTATGATTATGAATGTTCAGATTGTATATCTAATCTAAAGGCTGAAAATTGGCATTACGGGTCTCACGAAATACCTTTGGTCTCACATGATCCCAAGTCTCTCTCTCTCTCTCTCTATATATATATATATATATATATATTTATTTATTTATAAATTATTGTAAATTTTAAAAATAAAAGTATTGTTCGATTATTTAATAATCAAACCGGATAATCCAAAACCAATCAAACTGAACCAAGTGAAGTTCGTTATCGGTTAACTTAAAAAATGTTGAAAACATAATAAACCGGCTAATTACACCGTTACTTCG